AGTGTGTAACTGACTGTCTGTAACTTGCTTTCCCTTTACAAAGAGAGAATCTGTGGATCTTGCATTAAAACTTTTGGATGACGATGAAATTAGAGGCTACAAATTACATGTGGAGGTGGCAAAGTTTCAACTGAAAGGGGAATATGACGCCTCAAAGAAGAAAAAGAAGTGCAGAGACTACAAGAAAAAGCTGTCTATGCAACAAAAGTTTGTGGTTTTTTTTTTTCCATTTTGAAAGATTTTGTATAAATATCCTAGAGTATACTTTTGGTAATAACCACCTAGTTTTTATTTTAATGTCTTTATTGGAGTATAATTTCTTTACAATGGTGTGTTAGTTTCTGCAGTATAACACAGTGAATCAGCTATACGTATACATATACCCCCATATCCCCTCCCTCTTGCGTCTCTCTCCCACCCTCCCGATAACCACCTAGTTTTGTTCCATCAAGTATGCCTACAGATTATTTTTAAAGAATTTTATTTGCTATACACCTGAAACTAACACAACACTGTAAATCAACTATCTTCCAGTATAAAATAAAAATTAAAAAAAAATTTCATTAGATCATCGGAAACCCTCAGTAATCTGTGTAATAGGATGATTTGGCAGTGGTGGTGTTTTTCGTTTTCTGGGGTATTCATTTTTAATATAACATGGGCTTAAATGAAATAAAGCCATCTCTACAGAAAATGTTGAACACCAGATTAAGTAAGATGGTTTAGGTTTATATACCGGAGCCATTAGTTCATTTTTCATGTGGCTAGAATCAGCTATACCAGGAGCTAAATTTTTACATACAGGTTTGTTAGTAGGAGTTAGAAATTAGAAATGATAGGTTTTATCATTTTATCATGTACTGTGTGGTTGTGTATAGTATATACAAGTCATCAAGTTTCTATTATTCCCTTTATTTAATATGTTTTTTGAAATATGCTGGTTTTAAGAAATGAGTCAAAATGGTAAGTACTTTTATGAGAGTGAATTCTAATAACACTTCTAACACTATGCTTAAACTAATGATAAAATGATCAAAGTAGCATTTAGTTCTGATGTCTGTAGTTTTTACAGGAATCGTTAAAATAGATACCTAAAATTTTTATAAACAAATCAGTAAGATTTAAGATAGTAACAAAGAGTGAGTAGTTTTACATATTTCAGTGCAGTTTGTTCTTTATAATCATAAAATACCTAAATACCAATACCATTTGAACATTTTCTTGGCCTCAGTGTCTCTTCCTAAATAGTCATAGATACTAAATAATTAGCAATTTTTCAGGAGTCTCATTGGAATGTTTGTAACCAGCCAGCAGTTCTGAAAAATATATATATATTCTGGGGATTTCAGATACTGGATCCATCTTTCACCTGCCCATTATTTTGATTCAGAAAGTTGTAATGGAGCTGTGACTAAAATACACATTGTTGTTTTGGAATCAAATAATTATCATTATTTAAGTGCTCAATAAAGGATTATTTAACTGCTCATTTCTTTTTTCGCTCTGACAAGTCTGAAACAAAATTCACAGCTTCTTGTTCCTGCTTTGTCGCATTAGGCAGTTGGATTGGAGACCTGAGAGAAGAGCTGGCCCATCCCGAATGCGCCACGAGCGAGTTGTCATCATCAGAAATATGTTTCATCCTATAGATTTTGAGGTAGGAAGCAGTGTTCTTACTGATAGAAACATAGATATGCTTTCTTTCAAGGGAGCCCAAAGCTTGCCTCACCCCATCTTTCACATGTCACATCCTGCACGTTCATCTAGTCTTCAGGATCGGCAGATGATACCAAGAATCAACTGAAGGTTTCAGATTTTCCCAGGTTTAACCCAGCGTTCTTTTAATCGTATTGCAGGTAAACCCGTCTAATACCTGTACTGTGGCCCCAAACAGCAGCTACTTGGTATGGGAAATGATTAAAAATATAAACTTTAAAAGATTTATGGGAGTCGCTTGTGGATTTTGAGTGCAGTTCAACATTGCAGGCTGATTTTGGTGGGGAGGACCAGTTTCACACTTGGAATTGAAAACTTCACTTTAGTGCTAAAAGTTTGATCCTTAAAAAACCTTAGGTTAATGAAATACAGCCCCTGACATTTGAGTAGCAAAGGTTGTTTTTTTAGGACCTAATCTTTACAAAACTCTTTAGTGGCTATTAAGAGGACTTTGTAATAATTGGTGTCCATGTAAGATTCTAGGAACAGCAAATAAAAGTGAATAAAGGAGGAAGAGCTACTAGAGGGGTTTAAGGAATATTAATTGCCATCAGGGTACCTTGTGTTAACGTTCTGCCTCTTGTCCTTATCTCTGTGTTTTGGCCTAGACTGATGGGACCGTTCATGGAAGAAGAATTCTTTATTCTCTGCCTGACTTCTGAAATTAATGATAACAAATTACACATAAGAAAAAAATGTTCATAATGTAAAATTTCAGATGGTTTACAAATGATCTAGTTGCACCCAAGGCCCACTCTTGTTCCTTTTGTGCAGTTAAGCAGATTTAGAGTGACAGTGTCATTTTACCCTCCTTAGAGAGGGCACCAGAATTGTCTGTTGAACTCCATCTCTGCAGATAGTGATGTGATAGGGTTTACCATGCACCTGTGGAGTCTGTGTCTTTTGAGGTCATTGGGAAGATACCTGTGGTCTATTTATACTGTTTGGTGTCTCTTCTGACTAGAATCCTGAAGCATCTTGAAATACGGCAGAGCTGCTTTAGACTTGCAGTGATAATGAAGCATGTTTAAAAAATACACATATATACATGCACACTAGATGCTTTTTGAAATGCTATCCCTGCCAGGTGGGACTTTGAAAGGCATGCATAGATGGATCATGGTGTCTAGTCTACTGGGTACAACTCCAGAATTTCCTGTGATTCACCTACATTTTATTTCCCTGGTAGATAATTGGTTTTTGAATTAGGTGACCTATTACTTTCTGTGACTTGAGATCCTTGATTCACAACATTCCATACTCCTAACACTTGGACATGAATATAAATGCAAACTTAATTCATGAAGTATCTGGGCCCTGTGCAAGTTGAAGTGTATTGTGCAATTGCCTTTACGTGTTTCCGCCTCCTGCCTTTGCTCGTTGAGACCCTAATTTAAGTCTAGCTATCACCCTGGGCACACTTAATTTTTCCTAGCTTAACAAATATTCTTTCCTCCAAAAAGCCGCATTTATTCTTCCTTGACTTCCCACAAATTTCCTCCAGTGGATATTTTTAAAGATAAAAGTTTCATGCTTGTAAATTCTTGATAGCTTAAAGAAAAAAAAACCTTTATTGGTTTAATATAAACTTTGGAGTTATAGAACCTTTATATTAACCCTGCTTTATTTTATTCGTAGCATTTATTATTATCTGAAATAACTGCATCTTCTCTGTTAGAATGTGAGCTCCATGAAAGCTGGGGCTCTTGTCTACCTGGTTTGCTGTTATATGCCCAGTGCTTAGAATCATGATTGACACATAGTAGGCCCTCAGTATTTATAGGAAGAAAAAGTGAGAGAATGATTGAATGAAACCCTTTTTACTCACTAGGCAGAGTGTTTTCATCCACTCAAGGAAGAAAACATTTTCTCTTCAGCATCTTTGCAAATGAAGGAAAGTTTTCAGATGGCTGCACCACAGGGACTGGGAGCACAGTGATGGGCTTCAGAGTTCACGGGCAGAGAAACCCTTGATGCTGTCCTTGTTTGCCCATCTGACTGGTCTTGTGTGGTCTGACGAGTTTGATGAGAGCCTGTCAGAAGTCTTGATTTTTTGCTCAGTGTCTCATGGGCCTGAACGTAAAAGTGCATCACTGTAGTAGACTGTCCAGTATGCTAGACTCTAGCCACATGTGGTTAAATTTAAATTAATTGAAGTGAAATAAAATGAAAATTTAATTCCTCAAGTGTATTAGCCACGTGTGGCTAGTAGCTACCATATTGGATAATGGAGTATTCACTTCTATTAACACAGAAAGTTCTGTTGGGCAACGCTGGTGTAGACGTTATATAACTCTGGATAGAGGTGTTCAACTGGAAAACTGCTTTCATTGGACGTTTTTCGGGAGTGTTTGATTTGTCCAGAGATTCCGTATGAATCTAAAGAACAGATCAGCATTGAGGTTTGTAGTAGAAGACAAAAACTGAATTGTCAGGTAACCGGGGTGTCAGAAAGAAATCAGATTTTGTGGGGTGGAATACAGGCACACCTTGTTTCACTGTGCTTCGCTTAATTGCGCTTTGCAGATACTGCTTTTTTTTTATTTTTACAAATTGAAGTTTTTGTAGCAACCCGGCATGGAGCAAGTCTGTCAGTGCCATTTTTCCAATAGCATTTGCTCACTTCATTTCTCTGTGTCACTTTTTTGGTAATTGTCCCAGTAGTTTAAACATTTTCATTATTATTATATTTGTTATGGTGATTTGTGGTCAGTGATCTTTATTACTGTGACAACTCGCTGAAGGCTCAGATGATGGTTAGCATTTTTTAGCAAAGTATTTTTTAATTAAGGCATGTCTTTTTTAAATATAATGCTATGACACACTTATTGTACTACAGTATAGTGTAAACATAGCAGGAAAACCAAAAAATTTCGTGTGACTTGCTTTATTGTAATATTTGCTTTATTGCGCTGGTCTGGAACCGAACATGCAATATCTCCGAGGTGTACCTGTATATGTTTATTCCAGACAGTTGACTAGTGTTAGAACCAAAATACCTAGAAATACTCTTTGGTATCAGGGTGAACAGTGAAGGCTAATATTTTAAATGTAACTTTAAGGGGTTTTCAGTATTTAATTCAAAGCCTTGTTTAAAAAATTCATGCCTGGCAAATTTGAATACCAAGAGGTGAAGAACCAAAACTCAGGTGCAAAGGTAGGTTTCTCATTGTGTATACTAGCGCTGTCCAACAGAAGTATAATGTGAGCCACATGTGTAATTTAAATTTTTCTAGCAGCCACAATACAAAAACAACATGAAACGGGGTAAATTAATTTTTATGATAAATTTTATCTAACCCAGTATATCCAAAGTATTATAATTTCAACATGTAACATAAAAATGTTAATAAGCTATGTTACATTGAAGTTCTTTTCCCCTTTGGTACTAAATTTTCAAAATCTGGTGTATATTTCACACCTGCAGCACACCTCAGTTTGGACTAGCCACATTTCAGGTGCTCGGTAGCCATGTGTGGTTAGTGGCTACTATCTTGGACAGTGTAGGTTTAGCTTGGAAAAGAATGAGAAATACGGTTTATTTCTGGGAAAACAAAACACCACCCTGGAAAAACATTATAAGTGTTGACTGCAGAAAGTTTCAGCATTTCAGTCTGAGTTTAGTCTCAGGTCTGTTGCTTGCAAAGTGTTGTCTTTAGAAAATTTTCATGCTTAGCTAGGTTAAAGATATTTTTCACAGGGGAGAGGGTTATTATCTTTAAGCCTCATGATACTATATAACAGTGAAGATATATTTGTTTTTCAAGCTGGTAAACATGAAAACAGAGGTCTGGGAAGTCTTTGGCTGAAATTTGATATTCTTGTAGGAAAGGCACTGAGACTTTGATAAAGAAATAAAAATGGTAATTCACCCCTCCCCCTACAGTGGAATCATGCTTAAATTTGTTAAATATTTTGAAACAGTTATTGTTTGTTTTTAATATAACCCTGATTTTCCTTGGTAGATAAAATGGAGTTATGAGGAACGGTTTATCAAACTCTGAAAAAGCTTTTATTGACTGTTCATTGCATGAAAGACTGTGCTGTGTTCTGTAAGGTATTCAAAATTGCTCACAATCTGATAGGAGCTACCCCCCCCCCACATATACCCCCGTAAAAGCCACCATATGACTTTACCACATGAGTACATGGAGTTTATGCTCCATTCCCCATTCCTCTCAGGCCTGAGAATTTTCTATAAAACAAATTGGCATATTCTCCACAGTTAGATTTTATAAGTGGGAGAAATCCAGAGTCCTGCTAGCTGTACTCTTAGAAGCTTCAGATTTATAGGATTTGATAGCTTTTATTTTAAATTTGATTTCAGTAACTGCCTACCAGTTGTTTATTTTTGCCTTTTGACAAAACTTTAGGAAGGAGAAGCCACTTGTCATGTTTTGCTGTTCTCTTTAGTTGGTGAGGAACATACAAACCTGTGAGATAGACAAATTCATATGTTTCCTAAAAAGTGTAAGTCTGCTTCATTAGAAATTCGTAGGTAGGATATACTCGTTTATATTTGTATGTAATTGAAATTCAAGTTGATAACATAACTTTTTTATGAGCCTTTTTCATGCATTGGGACTTGGAGGCAAGATGAACAGGAACCCTTATGGGGGAGGTTTACTCTGTGAGTTAAAATAGAATCGTGGAAGCACAAAGAATAATCTTAGAACACTTAGTCAATGAAAGGGATATATGTCTCCCCGTTACAACATTTCTGTAAATAGGAATCTATGCAAAACACAAAATAAAGTTTCCTCATCGGTACAGTCATCATGATGCCGGTGCAGAACATAGGAATTAGCAGTCTCTGACTTAATATGTGCCACAGGACTTCACCTGCTTCAGCTGCTGTTATTTGTCATTTCCACTGACGCTTCCCTTCCCTCTCCTTTGCCACTGCACACCCCTAGTGCCGCGTACCATACTTGCCCATTCCCCATCTTAAAGCAGGGCAGACCTGTAGTAGTAGCAGCAGCTGTGGTAGTCTAACTTCATTTGACTTTGATTTTTTTTTTTAATTTTGTAGACTGCAGACAAACAACTAACCTTAAGCAAAACCTTTTTTTATTTGTTGGTTCGTCAAAGTAAGAAATTTGATTCTCAGGATTTATACTTAAAGAAGGGGGCAAGCCCATTTTAATCAAGTGTGTTTTTGCAGGATGATCCACTGGTGCTGAACGAGATCAGAGAAGACCTTCGGGTGGAATGTTCGAAGTTTGGACAAGTTAGGAGGCTCCTCCTCTTTGATGTAAGTTCATGGCTTGGACAAATGATTTCGAAAGCAATTTTCTTCCATTTTAATAAGTTACTACCAAATATCAGTATGCCTCCAAATTTTACATAAATGTTTTTATGTAGTAGGTCTGCTGTCTAGTGGTAGTCATCTGTAAGCAGTATTAGATAGCATAATTAGATGAACGTGGATTACAAGCGAAGGCTTTGATAGACGTGATATCCCTTGGTTATTTTCCTTTATCATCACTCTAGAGTTTATGGTCAGGTGAAAAAAAGTATAAGAGACATGTATGAGACCTTATGGTTCCCTATTTGGCCACATCTCCCCCTCTTTCTGAATTATTTCTTCTTCCATATTTGGAGAAAAACAATCAAGAAAAATACTCTCCTGTATGTTCCCCTTTTCACCTTTTTTTTACATCCAGAATCAACACATAATAATTAAAAGAGTCACCATTTATCGATTGCATACTACAGCTACTTTACATGTTATCTCATTAAGTCCTCCAAATCCTCTGAGGTAGGTAGGTGCTATTTTACCCATTTTATTTAGTTAGCCATTTTACAAATGAGGAAGTTTAGAGATTGAGCACCTTGCCCAGGGTCACTCAGCTGGTAAGCGGCAGAGCCAAGATTTAATCCCAGGGCTGTTCAACTTCAGAGTCCACATTCTTAACAGCCATACTGTTCTGCATCTCGTTAGACAGTGTTGTCGGCAGGAACATTTCCAAGGATACCATATGCTTGGTTTTTGCTAGACAGTGTTAAGCTGAAGAAGCGCTAGCTGCGTGTTACTGGCTGCAGTAAAAAGGAAGAAAGACTCATACACAAAGTCTTCAGCTCAAATGATCAGAAGGAACACTATTTCCTTACTTTGTCAGATGTATATATTTTACTTTAAATGTTCTCATTCATTCCTTCTTTTTCTTCCTTGTCTTTCTAGAGACACCCTGATGGTGTGGCCTCTGTGTCCTTTAGGGATCCGGAGGAAGCTGATTATTGTATTCAGACCCTCAATGGAAGGTGGTTTGGTGGCCGTCAAATCACTGCCCAAGTGTGGGATGGGACTACAGATTACCAGGTGAGTTCTGCAACTGTCAAGGGCACATGAGTTGTTTCATTACCAACAAATACTGATTTAGCAGTTTTTCACCTAAGTTTTAAGTTCTGTTTAATCTGTTTACCAGTACTTCTTTTAAATAATCCTTTACGCTCAGAGTATGGAAAGAAAAATGTTTCAGTCTTTCAGTTTATAAGTCTGAAATCAGTTTATAAGTCTTGAGGCTTGCTCAGGATAGCAATAAGAGAAGAACAAATTAAAGCGCTTCTCTTCCTTTCTGTCTTGTAAAGTACAGACAGTTCAATTATTAACTTTTTAATTGATGAGACATTTCTGCAGTGCTTTGGTATTAGGCGTTTATTTAAATGATCTTAAGGTCAACTCTAGTAAATCAAGATGTAAAGTGTTGGAAACAAGATAGGGAATTGCTTTAATTTCCTAAAAGTGATACCTTATCAAATCAGAGTACTTTCGGCGATATTAGAAATGTTCAGAGACGCTGTTACTTCTTTTGGCCTAAAACATATTTTAACGGCACTTTCCATGTGTACACAGGTGGAGGAGACCACGAGAGAAAGGGAGGAAAGGCTGAGAGGATGGGAGGTTTTCCTCAACACTCCCGAAGCCAACAGAGGCCTTCAGCGTTCAGATTCCGTCTGGGCTCCAGAAAGGGTGGGGCCTTCTAGAGTTAGGCATTTTTCAGAGCACCCTTGCGCATCTCAAACGAATGTTCAAGAAGCCGCAACTGAAATGGCATTTGAAGAACCTATAGATGAAAAGAAGTTTGAAAAAACAGAAGATGGGGGAGAAGTTGAAGAAGCTGCGTCTGAAAAAGATGCCAAAGAAAGTGGCCCTGAAAACGAGGCTGAAGAAGGCTGTCCCCAAAAAGAATCTGAAGAGAGCTGCCTCAAAAGAGAGTTTGAGGAAGGCCGTCCCAAGAGAGCGCGTGAAGGCGACTTCCCCGACAGAGAGTCCGGAGAGCGCAGCCCCGAGAAAGAGCATGAAGAGGGTTGTCCTAAAAAAGAGTCAAAAGAGAATGGTGCAGAAAGAGAGCCCAAAAAGAAGAGACTCAAAACAGATCCTGATGACAACAGCCTTGAGCAGGAGCCTGAGGAGGAGGCCAGCCCCCAGAAGGCGGCTGAAGATGGCAGCTCAGAACAAGGGTCTGAAGAGTGCTCGGAAAAGCAGTTTGAAGATGACTCCGAAAAAGAGTTAGAAGAAAACGGCCTTGAGAAAGGTTTTGAGGAAGAGGGCTCTGAGAAGGAACTTAATGAAAACATTCTTGAGAAAGAGGTAGAAGAAAATAACTCCGAAAAGTCAGAATTCGAAGATGACAGCTCTGGGAAAATGTTTGATGAAGGCGGCTCTGAGAAGGAGTTTGACGAAGAGTCAGATGAGAAGGAAGAAGAGGAAGATGTGTATGAAAAAGTATTTGACGATGAGTCGGATGAAAAAGAGGACAAAGAAGTTGCAGAAGAAAAGGGGCTGGAAGATGTGGTTGAAAAGGGCAAAGAAGACGATGCAGATGAAAAGGTGTTTGAAGATTCAGATGGAAAAGAAGATGAGGAAGATGCAGATGTAAAGGAAGATGAAGACACAGATGAAAAGATGTTCGAAGATGATGATTCCAACGAGAAGTTGTTTGATGACGATGCCAGTGACAATTTGTTTGAAGATTCCGATGAGAGAGGGACTGTGGGTGATTCAGGGAATGTTAAGGAGGAAGGGCCCCTGTCCACAGGCAGCAGCTTTGTCCTCAGTAGTGATGACGACGACGAAGACGATGATGACGTTTAATCCCTTAAACTTGCTTTGTAGGGTGATTCCTCCAAATCCGTTTTGCCTCTGCTCCAGGGTAATTACTAGTAGTGTTACATGAACGTGTGCATAGAGGTAGGATGCCCTCAGATCAATGCAGTGAAGTGTTCGTGATTATCTGTACTGGCCGATTTTAAATATATGTGAACAAGTCAACTGGATTTCTTGTCTTTTGTCATATTTGTTAAGTGCATGCAGAATAATATTTTTTAAAGTATTCTGATTGAAGTTTGTGGTATTCAGAAATTAAAAATAAGTTGTTAATATGCAGAAACAGAAAATTAGACCTGAGTTAAATTGCATTTTTCATTCTTGCTATTGCTTGATTCATTCTAAAGTTTGGTTTTTCTAAGGACCTGAAAAATCCCTGTAGGAGTCTCCTTGCTTCAGCTTATGATGTTACCACTGATGTCCCCATTTCCCCTCTCTAAACCAGAACATGTTACTAAAACTTATGAAGTAAAGAACACTTCGGAGTTTTTCCCTGCCCAGTCCTCGCAAGTTACTTTTATTTTTCTTTTCTACCCTCTTGCCATGAAAATTGAGTCTTAAACGTGCAAAAGTAAACTTCCCAAGGTCCACAGCTTCCATTATTGAAAATACAGAGGAAATCAGAATTCTCCCGTGTACTGTTTGGGCCCCTCTAGAAGCTGATTAAAGTTACAGGACCTTTACCCAGAAAAATCTATGCATGCACTACACAATCTTTTGTATACAGTTTGGGGTGGTTCATGGATCCCCTGGAGTTTAAGAACTTTTGTCATGCATATTTCAGATTTTTGCTTTTGATTTTGTTCTAGAATCATGATATCTAGTATATGCTAAGTTGTGTAGTCCCAATAAAAACTTGGGTCTTTCTTGATTGTGCTTTCCAAATTCAGTATTGATGAATTGACTTCTGATGTAGCATTAAGAAGTTATTCTCATAAATTAGAAGAATTAAAATAAACTGCATTGGTGCTTTCTCATTATACCGTCTGTCAGTGTAATCATTACCCTCTATAGACAGAAAAGAGTTCTTATACTTCAGGACAGCTTTCTGAGAATGTTTTAGTTGATGTCTGGGATCTATTAGAAATCTTTAGGCTTTTCACCAGGGATAAATCAGTAAAAGAGGTGAAGAAAGTTAAACATAGAAAAACTGCAAACCAAAATAGTGTTCCCTTTGAAGATAAGCCAGAAGCATTTAAACACTATATTTATTGTGTTTTACTACAATTTATTGTAATTTGTTGGCAAATTGGTTTTCTAAACGAAAGGGTAAGAATGCTTTATCTTCCATACACAGTGGTTGGAACACATAACTGCAACATAAATTAGCTCTAAGCCTGTCAGAAGGAGGCCGTTTTCATTCTAACTTCTTTTCCCCTGCTCATTAGTTTGGTTGATATCAAGTACTCATGCTCTTTTCATATAAACACCCTGGAGCAAAAGTCACAAACAGCTGTAAAATGGTAAATAATTAACAAGGTGATATTGATGAGCAGACGTTAAGAGTCATGAAACACCTGTTTTCTAAGCAATCAGGTTTTATCGGTCCTGAAAATGGAATTTATTGTGGAGCAACAATACATCTTGTTATCAAAAGAAAATTGAAATGTACGGGTGGATTGTGAGCACAGCAATGCTCAACAATTACCCGACAGTTTCTAAGGAGTAATGCTCCTTAAGACTATATATATAAATTTCAAATAATGTGTTCAACCCTGAGTGTATGAACCAGAAGTTGCTTCAGAGATGCCTTTCAAAGGCTTGAATGCTCTGCCCTCTGAGTCTACAAGTACCTTGTATAGGAACATACCTGAAACTTCATGTTAGAAGGTAAGAATATTACTGGTCTTGCCAATATTAATGAAATCTTTGAAATCATTACTACTTTCTACAAAAGAAGCCCGACAGCAAAATTGGAGTAATTTGTTCCAAGGATCTCTTCCTTCTCAAGTAACTCTGGGCTCTTTCTCAAGCCCTGTGTTGTCAAATCTGGCCAATCTGGAAGCCACTGCCTCTTCCTTTTTAGAGTGGAATCTTCTGATGTAAATTATTTGGTGATTCTGAGGCTTGGAGAAAAGGTGGGAGTTAGCTAGTTTTCTGAATATACCTTTCTCAAATAATGCCAAGAAGCGCTCTTGGGAGTTCCCTGGTGGTCTAGTGGTTAGTATTTGGTGCTTTCACTGCTGAGGCCCAGGTTCAGTCCCTGGTCCAGGAATTGAGATCCTGCAAGCCGAAAGGTGAGGCCAAAAAAAAAAAAAAAAAGTGCTCTTAATTAGTTTGAACAATGCCATGGCTTGGGCAACAGCGGAAGGCTTATAAATGTGCCCTTTGTGAATATTTGTCAATATTCTTATACATTATTTTTTCCTTATTGAGTCTCAGATGTACAAACTGCATGCCTTTTTCTTAGACAGTCACTTCTATTCATTTAAAGTCTATTCATAAATGCTTCAGAAAAATGAGCAACTTATAAAAACAAGAAGCTGCTCTTCAAGTTCTTTCTTAAAACCACTTATGCAGTAATCCAGAGATTAATTTCAAATCCCTCTGTTTTTTAAAAGCACAAGTTATGAAGCACTATAAATAATCTTGTGATATATCCTAATAAATAAAATTAGTGTAAAAAAAATCTGTTTGCTCAAATTATTTTTGCTTCTTACCACACTTCATTTACCTGACTGGCTCTGTTCATATCTCTCTAAGTGAAATACAACCTGATGTGAGAAAAAATGTTAAAATTATCCCTTTCTAAAATCACTAATTGCTATTGCAAATAGCCTAAATTCTTGGACACCCATTATCGCAGGGATCGATTGCTTGAGAAGAATACTTAACAGTTTAAAGTTTATTTTTAGGTGTTCAGATCTGTCCTACAGACTTGTTTCAATTTTCATTTGGAACCAAGAGGATACTGTTGTTAGATACAGTACGCTCAAATAGCATCTTTAGATTGGCTTGTGTTTATAGTTTAGTTATCTAGCATTTCCGGGCTGTGTGATGAAGATGCACCAGTGGTCCCAGGCTAGATAAAGAAAGCTCAGACAATAAAATCTTTTATACATTTTTTTTTTAATTTTAAAAATGAAAAATAAATAAAATTTTAAAAAATTTAAAAGCTCAGACAGCAGCAGCACAAAGGTGGCTTTTCTGCTGCCAGTATTCTTTTTGCACCCCTTTGTAATGTTTCTGCTGAAATAGCAATGATAATGTTAGAAGAGCAAAGCTCTTAAGAATAAAGCGTTTTTCGATTTGCCATTTCCAGCTTTTTCATAGAAATTGGGACTTTGATAATAATAATGATAAACCTGCAACATCTTAATGTAAAAATGTCTAGACTCAACTATGTCTAAAGTTTGAAAATGTGATATCTTGTGCTCTTGTTTTTCTTTATTTTAAAGCTATCTTTTACTTTAAAAAAATTTTTTTTCTTTTTTGGCCGTGGCACGCCCCACAGCATGTGGGATCTTAGCTCCCCGACCAGGGATTGAACCCAGGGCCTTGGCAGTGAAAGCACGGAGTCCCAACCTCTGGACCACCAGGGAATTCCCAAAACTATCTTTTAAATGAACAAGATAAGCTTTGGTTTTCAGGCGATTCTTAGGAAATTATAGATTAGGGTAATAAAAATTTGTGTATCATTTCAATGCTTTTTACTATGAATATATTGCTTACTATATTAAGATACAAGTAGTGTTAGACTGTTGGTTTGGTGTATTTACACTCACTATAGCATCTATTTAATTTGATTCAGTCCATTAGCAAGTATAGATTGGGCCAGTGTGTATCTATTAATATACTAGATGAAGTGGGGCAGAAGGGGCAGTGAGAATAAAGACAGCATTAGGCATGAACCCTCCTCAAATGGCAGCTGTCATCTATGTTGAGATAAGACAGCCAAAAGAAAACAAATGTGGCAGTGATCTAGCAATACCATTTCTAAAGCCTAGCACCGTGCCTGGTACTTAGTAGGGGCTCACATAAATATTTGTTGAATGAATGAATGTATTCTATGGATACACTTGCACACTCCCATTCATTCATTTGAAGAGGTTCATTGGCTTTACCACCACCTTGTCATCATTCTTGTTGATTTCAATATTGGAATGAAAGACCCTGTTCTTTCCCCAGTCCTCCCACCTCAGCAGCCCAACTGTCCAAACCCCACATCTAGGAATCGTCTTTGGTTTCTCTCTCCACCTCCCACATCCAAGCCATGTTGGCTCTAACTCCAAATACACCCAACATTTGAACGCTTCTCCCCATGTCCACTTCTACCACATTTACTGCCCACAGTGCCCTGATGGCTCTCTATTTAAATGCTCCAGTCACACTTAGAATAAAGTTCAAACTCCTTACTGCGGCCTGAGCATAAAGCTCTGAGTGATCTCGCCCTGCTGCCTCTCCAGACTCATCACAATCACACTACCATCACCTTGGGTTCTCATTCCTATCCCAGGACCTTTGCACATGCCTCAGCCTGGGATGCTCTCTCCCCGGCCAATCTGGATCTCTCTCATCCTTTAGACTGCCTAAGTATCACCTGCTTAGAAATCCTGACCGTCAGTAAACCACCCTTTTCTCCCCCTTGATGCTATTACTGTGGAATCCTTTTCACAGCAACAGATTATCTTATTTATTTACTTGCCTTCCCCACCCTCCCTTCTCCCCCCAGCTGCCTTGCAAGCTCTGTAATAGCCATGGCTTTCTCCTGGGCTCTGCTGTCTCTCCAGTGCCTAGAACAATGACTGGCACAAAGTAGACAATCAGATCTTTTTTCAGGGGTGGGAATCATCATCATGAATGTTGTATGCTATGAGAATCTCCACATTTTTAGAAAAATGTGAAGAACAATTAGGGCAAGAGAAGGGGAGTAACAACACTTATCTGTAATATAAAACCAATGAGATAGATAAGAGTTTGAAAACACAAGGCTCACAGGTAGAGTTCATCTCTATTGGGGAACATAAAAAATTTCATTTTACAGTTTA